AGGTATGGCCGTTGGGGGGCGAGGGGCGAGGCAGGAGGGCTGGGGGAGGGGCTGTTTGGGGAGGGGGGCGAGGCGAGGAGGTATGGCCGTTGGGGGGCGAGGGGCGAGGCAGGAGGGCTGGGGGAGGGGCTGTTTGGGGAGGGGGGCGAGGCGAGGAGGTATGGCCGTTGGGGGGCGAGGGGCGAGGCAGGAGGGCTGGGGGAGGGGCTGTTGGGGGAGAGGGGGGTCGTTGGGGGGGCAGAGGCGGGGGGGCGAGGGGCGAGGCAGGAGGGCTGGGGGAGGGGCTGTTGGGGGAGAGGGGGGGTTCGTTGGGGAGGGCGAGGCAGGAGGGCTGGGGGAGTGGCTGGTTGGGGGGAGAGGGGGGGTCGTTGGGGGGGGCAGAGTCAGGAGGGCTGGGGGAGCGGCTGTTGGGGGAGGGGGGTCGTTGGCGGGGGCAGAGGGGGGCGAGGGGCGAGGCAGGAGGGCTGGGGGTATGGCCGTTGGGGGGGGGCAGAGCCGGGGGGGCGAGGCAGGAGGGCTGGGGGAGGGGCTGTTGGGGGAAGGGGCCGTTGGGGGGCGAGGCGGGGCACGGAGCCCCCCGCCCGTACCTGGCGGGGAACGGCGCGAGCGGAACCCTCCGACTCCGAGCCCCGCCCACTGCGCCCGCGACTCCCTCCTAGCGCCGGCTCCTGCCAATCACGGCGCCCGCCAGCCAATCGCTGGGCCCGATTCCCCCAAAACAGTCCCGCCCACAACCGACCCCTCCCCCCATTCTCCTCCTTGGCTGGGCGGGGCGTGGGCCTGAGCTGGTAGAAGCAGGGGACGCTCGGACTCCTGGGTTCCTCCCCTTCCCTGGGTGGGGGGAGGGGAGCACCTGCCCAGAGGATCATTTCCAGCTTGGGAGGAGCACCCTGCTGGGCTAGAGCATCCCTGGGATCCATTTCTCCTTCCAGGAGAGGAGCAGAATCAGGGGGATTAGAAACCAGGGCTCCTGGCCGGTGTAACTGGAGGGGACGGCTGACTCTGGTGTGAAACTCCTGGATAGCCTGCAGTCACTGGGTCAACACAGTCCTTCATCCACGACTGGTAGGGCCCTACCAAATTCAGGGTCCATTCCGGCCAATTTCATGGCCCTAAGATTTTTAAAACTGTAAATTTCATGATTTCAGCTATTGAAAGCTGAAATTTCCCCTGTTGTAATTATAGGGGTCTTGACCCGAAAAGGAGTTGCGGGAGGGTCACAAGGTTGTTGATGGGGACGTTGCGTTACTGCTACCCTTACTTCTGCGCCTCTGCTGACGGCCGCGCTGCCTTCAGAGCTGGGCAGATGGAGAGCGGCAGCTGCTGACCAGACGCTCAGAGCCACCGCCAGCAGCAGCGCAGAAGTAAGGATGGCATGCGATGGTATTGCCACTCTTACTTCTGCGCTGCTGCTGGCAGGGTACTGCTTTCAGAGCTGGGTGCCCAGCTAACAGCCACTGCTCTCCAGCCGCCCAGCTCGGAAGGCAGTGCAGAAGCAAGGGTCCTAGAATAACTTTTGTGACCCTCCTGCAACTCCCTTTTGGGTCAGGACCCCCAGTTAGAGAAATGCTGGTGTCCCCTGTGAAATCTGTATAATACAGGGTAAAAGCGCACAAAAGACCAGATTTCACGGTCTGTGATGCGTTTTTCATGGCCACGAATTTGGTAGGGCCCTAATGATAAATAAATCTGGTAGGTAAAGCTGTAGGGTGAGGCCTTCAAAACCAAGGACCTCCACTCCACATGGACATCAAAGCTCCCCTGGTATTTTTCATGAGGAAGAGCTTGTCTACATGGATTATTCCGGAATAGCTGTTCCTGATTAACTCCCTGTGTGGATACCTTTATTCTTTATTTAAGAATGTTTTATGACAAATTAGCTTGGTGGATTTGGAATAAGGTGCTCCTTCCTTTTCACGCCCTATTTGAACCCAAATTAATTTCCTTGTGTAGACAAGCATCTGTAATCCCCACCCTGATTTGTACAATGTTTGTCCATGTGACAACTGGTTGCCACCCCAGAAGGGGTTGCATTTCAGGAACCCTGTATGTAAACATCATACAGCTATTTGGTATTGCAGGGTTGCTGTGGTGGTCCCAGGATATTAGAGAGACAAGATAGGTGAGGTAGTATCTTTTATTGGACCAACCTCTGTTGGCGAAAGAGATGAGCTTTCAACTTTGTAAACTCAAAAGCTTGTCTCTTTCACCAACAGAACTTGGTCCGATAAAAGATATTTCACCCACCTTCTTTCTCAAATATTTGATGTGTAAGACACTATAGCAATGGAAGATGTTGCAACAACCCAGGTGACCAAAGTCTATAACCACCAGGGAGGTTATATATTTAAGACTTATACAAAAACATTTAGCTTGACAAAGTTTGCTCCGAAAGTTCCACACTGAAGATTTTTGGCTCATGTGTTCAGTGCCAATGTTAAAATCAGGAAGGTAGAAACCTGCAAATATCCACTGGCACCAGTGGTAAAAGTTTGTGGGTTGAAAAATTGTCTCAAACACAAGTGATAAGCATTCCTCTTTGTGGCATTTTCTCTACAGCTAGAAGTGTCGATTGTGGCCCAAATCCAAAAGGAACTAGGCTTGGCAGACTATACAGAAACCCTTTGGGTCCCACCATTGTAATATCTGCCAGTTATATAGCACTTCGGAGACATCCAATTATAAGCTTCTCAGGGCAAGGACAGTCTGATTTTCTTGGACTGTGCCGGTGATATTATGGGTGCTAGGGGAATATAAATAATAATCTCATGTAGTGAATTTCCCAAGGAGGTTTTAATATCATTCACCCACACACACAAGTTCTGCAAGGTTGCTATTATAGTTACCAGCCTGGAAGTTGCTCGTGCCAAGTCACTGGCCAGGTGGCCTGGACACGAGGATGGAGCCAGACCTTGTCAGATGCCTTGTCAACTATCCGAAAGGGGATTCCAAAGAGGACAGATCTAGACTGTTCTCGGTGGTAGCAGATGACAGAAGAAGGAGTAATGGTCTCAAGTCGCAGTGGGGGAGGTTTAGGTTGGATATTAGGAAAAACTTTTCCACTAGGAGGGTGGTGAAGCACTGGAATGGGTTACCTAGGGAGGTGGTGGAATCTCCTTCCTTAGAGGTTTTTAAGGCCTGGCTTGACAAAGCCCTGGCTGGGATGATTTAGTTGGGGACTGGTCCTGCTTTGAGCAGGAAGTTGGACTAGGTGACCTCCTGAGGTCCCTTCAAACCCTGATATTCTATGATTCCTGTTTTTACAAAGGGGAAAACTGAGGCATTCACACACTTACATGACTTGCCCAAAACTAAAGAATGAGAAAGTGGCAGAACTGGAAACACAACTCGGGAGTTCCTAACCCAGCAGACCAAGCATCATCAGGACAATTAAGACACTTTTGCTCAGTCTTTCTATGCAAAACCAGTACCCACTAACCCCCAGTAAACCAGTTTATACTGATCTTCAGCACATGGTGCACAGCTCATCTTACTGGAGCGGCATATTGCTGGCGGGAGTGTGTTTATGTGTGTGTCTCCTTACAGTGGAAGCCCAGGGAGGGCCATGCTGTAAAATGTTTTTTGTATTGGGTACCCAGATGCATGACCAATGGGCCTTAGGGGAGAAGAATTAACCACAAGGACTGCACTGCTTCCACTCCAGCTGCATGGTCTCAATTTCTCCATATTAAAAAGTAAAATGATGGCTAAAGACATCTAGCACTCCTGTAGTGCCCCAAAAAAACAAGCTCACAAAAGTCAATAGAAAGACTCACGTTGACTTCAATAGACTTTGGATCCAGCCTTCGATGACCATCAGAAGCCTTGTTATTGTCATATAAACTCAGGGGCTTGCTACTATAGCGGAGTTAAAGTCCTCGGCATCAGTGCCCTCAGTCATGAAACTGAAAGTTGCAGCCGCTCCTCTTTGTAGCCTTTTGCCAAAAAGTTTCATACGCTGAGTGCGCTGGTCTGCTATGAATTTTGGTTACAGCCACCTCTTCTTTGGTTGTTTCACCATCCCAGACAATGCCATAGGCAACAGGCTTACCTCTTAGGCACACAAAGAGTAAACAGACATGTCTATTGATAATGATTTTATTTTTCTTTTCCGGAACATTTTCTCTCCATAATGCAGATGTCCCCTGACTAATTAAATGCATTGAGTGATTCCGGAAAGAGACACGAAAAACCCAACAAGTCTCTGTAGTAAATTAAAAAAAAAAATCTTTGGCAATGAAAATAAAAATAAAAATTCACCATTGTGCCTATGTGTATCATACTCCTTCCTCCAAAGACGACTGGCCAGAACTGAGTGGTACCTGCCAACCACCAACAGAAGTGGCCCGAGTCTAGAAGAATCGTTATGAAAAGGAGCACACACAAAAAAGGCAGGATTAGTGTTACTGAGGAACAGCTCTGTTGCCTAGTAGTTGTAGCGCAGGAAAAGTCTGATGAACTAGAGATAGTTCTCTGCACTTGCAGAGAGGCAAGCCAGTGGCCTAGTGCAGGGGTTCTCAAACTGGGGGTCAGGACCCCTCAGGGGGTTGCAAGCTTATTACATGGGGGGGGTCACGAGCTGTCAACCTCCACCTCAAACCCCGCTTTGCCTCCAGCATTTATAATGGTGTTAAATATATAAAAAGTGTTTTTAATTTATAAGGGGGAGGTCACACTCAGAGGTTTGCTACGTGAAAGGGGTCACCAGTAAAAAAAAGTTTGAGAGCCACTGGCCTAGTGCCTTTTTCATTTATGTGCAAAGAAATCCAGATTTGGTTTTGCAGGTTATCGGCGGCTCAGAACGTTAGTGAGAGTCTAATCCTGCCTCAGCAGGAAAAGCGCAGTGCCTCCCGTGACTCACTCACAGCTGCTCCGGGACAGCCAAGGTGAGGAGCTGGAAGGTTATGTTGGTTACTCCTGAATTGGCAAAATGGTCGATACAGATCAAGCGTTAATAGATTTAGGATGTTAGAAAAAAAAATCAGGGTGTTGCTCAGGGTTTCACAATCAGGGATAGGGACATGATCTTTAATTACTGAATTATATAGGGCAGACAACATGCAGCTTTGGTTGGACGCTGGAAGACCTGCGTCCAATGGGTAGCTGAGGGTCTTACTTTTAAAAGCAACCAGCAAAGCCACAACAGAAAGTTAAGCACTGGAAATATATTGCGACTAGCCCCAGGACTCAGACAGAACAGCATTAAGATTTAACTAGCCCCTTTAAGCATTCTTTTTGGTCTTTCAGATAATGTGCTGGATCCGCTAGATGGAAGAAGTCTTTATGCAATTGCTGGCTCGCCCAGTAGTTGGGTTATCCCAGATGAATGCGTTCTGGAGGCTTTGTTTAAGAAGCCAGAAAAGCCAGTGAATTGCACAAAGCCTAAAAAGAATTATAGTAATGAGTCCAGTAAGTTGAGGCAACCATCCAGACTCTAATTGAGAACCTCATTTTTACATGCTCAAAATATAAATTCAGCTGAAATTATCCATTCTTCAGCACAGCACAGATGAGACAGTTTGGGAATTTATAAGCAAAATGTATTCAGATGCTTTTGTGTTCTGGGTAGCTGAAAAAAAGCATGCACTGCTCATTTTAAGCCAATTTGTTTTGGTGCATATTATGGGTTTTCTGTTTGTGGTTTGTATGGGTTGTTTTGCTCACCCCCAAAAAATGTAGCAGAAATCTACAATTTAAAATGTTCATCTTGGCTCACCCTCAATGAGTA